TGCAAATACCCAAGTTTGTTGTTTTAACATAAAGTAAGTACATAGTCTATATTTATCTAACAGTCGTATATCCTGTTGCACTTGTATGCAACTAAATAGATTTGATTTGTTGTCTAAGGCTTTCAGGGCCGGAATCACTGGGTTGTTGTGTGTTTTCTGTGCTGTATGGCCATGTTCCAGAAGCATTCTCTCCTGACGTTATGCCCACATCTATGACAGGCATCCTCAGAGGTTGTGAGGTCTGTTGGAAACTAGGGAAATGGGGTTTATATATCTGTGGAAAGTTCAGGGTGGGAGAAAGAACTCTTGTCTGTTGGAGGTAGGTGTGAATGTTTCAATTGGGCCACCTTGATTAGCATTTGATTGTCATGATAGTAAAGCTCTCCGAGATTTACTATCTTTTCGTAGAGCTTGTAAAACTTATTTATTTAGGCTGGCATTTGAATCTGGTTGATTGAAATTTTTCTTTGTTTTGAAATGTAATGTATTGCATATGTATGTTGTAAACCGCTCCGAGCCTTCGGGGAGTGGCGGTATATAAATTCGATTAATAAATAAATAAGAAATAATTATTTGGCTGATAAGGGTAAAAACTTATAAATGCAATTTCCAGTGTGAGAAGGTATATCAGATTACAGAAAAAAATTTAGACATCCAGACATACAGATTCTATGCAACTACGTTGGATTTACAATTACATGGCTAACAAACAAACAAAGGGGAATTACAATTTCACTCAGCATTCACACACATGTACATGCATCCATCATCGTGCATCCAAATATTACCATATCCTTTTCTCCCTCCTTGGAGAAACACCTGTTAGCCCAAACCCTGCTTTCCTGCAGCCTGCCAACGCATAGTTCCATAACTTCCATAACTTCAAAATCCCAAAACTCCTTTTCCTAAGGACAGTGCCAAGGACTAGATCTCTGTTTTCCCTACAGCAGAACCTGATTCCTTGCACAAAATCTAAGACTCCAAAAGTGCACTTCTTCCTCTTCCCTTGAGAAAGAAGCTCCAAAGTGTCCAGAATCATGCTTTCCCATAGCATATCTTACACTCTCTGAATACACCATCTCTGTCCTTCCCATGGAGCAGAGAGGCGGCTGAACCAGACTCCTCAGGTCTGTCACACTTTGAGCATTATTAGACTGAGT